TATATATATATATATATATATATATATATATATATATATATATATATATATATATGCATAGTACATGTAAATTGCATACATTTTGTACATTTCTTTTATATAGATATATGTATGCGTTATTATTTATTTTTAAAATGAGATAAACGTATATCGTTGTTATTCGTAGTATTATTCAGTGAATAAGTATGCATTATAAATGTTAAATGATTTGTAAAACTTCATAAGCTCCATGGGCAGTATTTGCGGTGTGCAAGAAAATAAAAAGAAACCATTGGTCAATTCATAGATATTTTAAAAAAAGAATTATTTCTTAGTATATACATAGGAAAAGAAAAAAACGAAATCGTTATGTCATTAGAAGACTCTTAAGGGGTGTGATTTGCACTGACGCTCAAAGACTTCATCGTGCACTAAGTATTATTACGCAGAAACGTTTTTACTCTTGTGAAAGAAATTATAAATTAGAGGACTAGGCCTTTGTGGTTTGGACGTTTCCTCGTGTAAACGGCATATCGTACCGGTTGCAGGAGTAAAATCGTTTCTTACTCGGTTGTTATATGCGCATATAAGTGATATGATAAAATGTTTCCTTCTTTCTCGATAATATAAAGTTACAAGCGTTCGTCTTTGAATGTAAGCGATAAATGCTGTGTACACCGCGATCGCAACAATAGCGCGCGGCACTCGAATGCGTGGGGCTCTGTTTTTATGGGCTGTGTGTAAGTATCCGCAAGAATGCGAAGTTTTGGCTATCAAATAGCAAAATTTTATATGAATGCGCGTATGTTGAAGATGTCTTTCTATACATGTATCTGTTATTATTTACTGTACGTATGCAGCGAATGTGCCGATCGATTACCATTTAGGAGTCGGATCCATGATTTGGAGAATCATGTGAATTATTTCTTTTTTTTTTATTTTGCTCTTTTTTTCGATTCTTTTCTTTTCGATTCTAGATTATTTTCTTTCATTCTGTATTGTGTGATTCGCTTTCTTTCATTCTGTACTGTGTTGTGTTCGAAAATGTGGGAAGCATGCGGAGAGAAACGATAACAATTAACAAATCTGAAGAATAATTCTCGACAGTAATTCTTTATTTGTGATCACGGCTATTGTAGCTGTTTAAACGAATGCAGATCCGGCTTCTATAGACTGCGTTTTTGTTGACATACATATATAATATATATATATATATTGACAAGAAGGCTGCTGCAATATGGTTCATAATTCGACGATAACTTGTTGCACACCAAAGTGTATTTCCAATAACTAGGTGGACTTATTTCTTATAATATTACATATTATTATTACGTAAAAAAATGCAAACGTAATGTCGTTTGTATTGCGATGGATCGGTCCGTGTGATCAACGCAATTAAGCATAACCATGACTAAGTCGTTGCAATTTATGCCAAATAGAGAAAAGGGAGCGCGGAAACAGAGTCTGATAAGAAAAAGAGTCAATTTGATATACCAAAATAGAATTTCGAGATACGTAAAACATTTAGAGGCTGCGTTCGAGATAAATCCATAATCCATCTTAGTTTATCGATCATTGAACACGATAGAGCGATTGCTCAAAATTGATGAGAGATTTGTGCGTTTATCCTTTTTAAAGCAAAAGTTGTAGCACTGCAGCAAGTTTTCTTATTTTCCGTTTTATATTCATTATATATTGTTAACGATAACATCTTATATTCTAGATTTAGAATTATCATTGAAAGATTATCGAGAAATTCATTTCGTTCATTTTTTGTGATTTCATTACTGCAGTTGCTGCAACTGATACCATAGTGTGCGTTAGTTTAAATATTCTGTTTTGAATATCGTTCGTTAATTCATACTAGTTTAAATAATTAACAAGATTTAATTCTAGAGGAATGTTCTCTTGAACGGAGTCGAACACACAAGGAGGAGAGCAGAAAAAGAAGAAATACAGATTTCGTTTCCGGATCTCGTTACTCTCGCGCCATATCTATACCATACCGTGTACATGTTTCCGCACCGAATTTGACAGTAAGATGATAAACGATTATAAAATGCACACCGTCGATCCGTCGTTCCCTTTTTAAACTCGGATCGCTAATCGATATTCGTACACCAAACGCTAACCGCTGTGTCTGCACATTAAGCTCGTCGTCGCTTGCCAGTATTGCTCTTCTGTATTCTCGCATAATTCTAATTCATGACAGCAATTATTAAAGTTTTTACAAGTGTGAAAGACACGCTCGGTATCATTTCCTCCCGTTGTCATCTTTAGTCTCTCCTCCCTCTCCCCATCCCTGTAAACGTATCGTACACGCGATCCACTTATCTTTGAGTTCTAAAAGTTCCTTCGTAGAGAAACACCGTCGTTTACCGCGAAGTTGCAAGATCGTGTACTAACTGGCTGTGCCTCCAGCACGAAGATCACGTCGTCCAGGAAGTAATACGACTGTCCCAGATCGCCCTCGCACAGGTACGGCAGTTTGCTCCAGACGAGGCATCGCAGACCTATCGGGGCGAAGATCCGGTCGATTAGACTGATTATCTGAGTCTCGAGCCCGTTCCCTCGCACCGGCAGGCACTCCGACGGTTTGTGATTACCCCTTTCGCCAACCTCGACGTAGGGGCTAAACGGTAGTACCAGAGCGACGACCAGCCTGCCACCGGGAGCCAGCGAGGTTCTCAGTAGCCTCAGTAGAGTATTCGGACGATCGCAACGGTCAAGGAGATTCAAGCAGAGGATGACGTTGAAAGGACCGGCTTCCTGGTGCCATCTCTCCACATCGAGTACTCTGCGAAAAAGCAAAGATCTAAAGGGTGCATTCGGATTCTCTCTGTACGTATGTAGATATTTGAATGTTTTAATTTCTTATAATTTTGACGCTTTATATATTTAAAATAAAAATTTACTACATTAAATGTTAAAAAAAACAAAATTAACTTTATATTTGAGATTTGATTTTAATTCGATCATTCATGAATCTAATCGGTTTTAATCTATTTTTTTTTTTTTTTTATAATAGCTTTTCAACGTCAGTCCGTATTGTGTTACAAAGAAAAATCAATAAGTTCCAAGGAAAAGTTCTTCGGATCTCGGGAATAATCAGAGTTTTACGAAATATCGCGTGGCTGTCGCGCGTACGGTAACGGGTGCACGTGACGAAAGTCGAATCGAGATTTCTTCTTGGCGGAATAGTTTTTCAGAGATGCAGGCCGGAGAAACGGGAACTCCAGACATCGGCTAATTTTACGCGGAGCGGACGGAGGGGGTGCGTCCGGAGTAGTATCCGGATAGTTGGGGTTCTATAAAACGAGTTACGAGTCCGTCGCACACACCACCCCGCGAGCGCTCATTTAAAATTCGAGTGGCGACCCCGCGCTGAGAGCGCTGAGAGCCACGCTCTGGCAACGCTCCGGATCCGACGGTAGTGGTGTCCGCTCCGATCCGCTCCGGGTGTAAAACCACCGTAAACTTCTACTCCAATCAATTCGACGCAATAAACTTGTTAGTGGCGCATCGTGTTGAGAATATTACGTATCGACACGAGCGTCGACAAGCGCCGCTTTATACATCGTCGTCCAGCGCGGCCGGCCGGCGCGAACGCGCGGCGGGACCAGCCGGCCCGCCGATCAATTATCTTATCTCACTTTATAATGAAGCCCACGTTTTTAGAGATAACCGTAATAACACCGCCCGTGATGGCCCCTCAATTCGCTCCGGGAACGGTGCGCATAATTGCGCGCGTTTATATTATCGGGGATCCGTATCGAGTAATCGCGAAACCGCCGTACTCGCCGATCTCTTATTGATCCGATTCGCGTTACATTGATTTGCATAAATTGGATGTTTTTTTACTCTTTCTTTTTTTTTTTTTTGCCATCGTGTGTAATAGAAGCTAATTATTCGTTCGATCTGAAACGAACGCAGGAAAAAATCCTCGAAGAGGATTTGAATCTTGGAATATTTTTGCGACAGAGAAAAATAAAATCGATTAAAAATGATTTGTGATAATTCACAAAAACAAATGGAATACGGAATGTGAGGGTTAAATAATTTTCTCGGGATTGAAAATGTCAAGGAAAGTCGCGAATACGGCGCTTTAAGCCGTGATGAGGATAAAATACGTCGCGCGAATCTATGGCGAGTATGCGTCGCCGTTACGAGAAAATGCAAATACACATTCAAGGAGCGGAGATTCCACCGCCCACCATTGGCCGCTCGTATTCGATTCGAAGAATGTAATCTGTTTCGCGTTCTCGCATATACGACTCCGCGACTCT